AAGTACGTAATTACAGTTGGTGCACTGGATAACGTAATTATAATTGGTGGGAAAGGGGGAGATTCTTTTTCAGATTTAAATTTTCCGCTCTTTTATACTTTTTCCTACATATCAGGTCTTCATATGGAGCTGACTAATTAAAGCAACTTCCGGTTTGCTGTGCGCTTAAAAATATGGGAAAGGGCTTGAAACCTAGAATCCAATGAAAAGAAAGTCGCAGCGCTATTCAGTTTGCTAGCCGGTGAAAGATAAATATACATTTGGATGTAAGGCTCAAGAACGTAAACTTAACAGTAAACTCGGGGGGGGGGGAGAAGTCTTACCACAATTTAAAAAAAAAAAATTGATCAGATAACTGTTTTAGGATAATGAAACAGGCAAAGAAAGAGTAATTTGGCAAACTCTGAGTTTAGTATTTGGCTTGAAACTTACTTTCACGGGTAATTAGCAAAGAGATGATTTGCAACTTCCTTCAACAACAGACAATACTACGGATAAAAAATGCATGATTTAAATATACTTAGATTACAAATTAGAATTTTGAACATTCCTTTATCAAAGGTTAGATGTTATTTCTAGATTTTAGAGCCACAAATCAGAATACGGGATATAATAATAATCGTCTTGTTATTCTAAATGATTAATGTCCAAACATTCTAAAAAAAGCATTTTTTAAGTAATGAGAAAACTGGCAGCAGCTTGCTTGTATTTAATAATAAAAACAATTATTAAAGTGTGTATCTTCAAAAGAAACTTCGTAGTAATTTAGTATTCAGCTGAATAACCCCAAAATATTGGTCCCAATGGAGGAAGCTTCCAATCTCTTAATCCACTCATTATTCATACGCTACAATAGTGCATATTAGAAAATATAATTTCCTTAAATTATGCTTAATCGCCTTTTTGAAGCTGCATTGTGTTATTAGGTTTGTTCCAGAATCCAGTTGACAGTCATAGAAATTAACTCGAATTAAACGTCGCAAAAGCGAAGGAAAACTCGCTAAGTGAAAGGAAATGTATAGAAACAAATACAACAGAATATTAAATCTCCGATAAAGGAGACATTTTAAATAAAAAATGTAATGAATACAACCTAATTGCCCGCATACAAGTTACATATTTTTATTCAAGTTGGATTCAAGTACGAAAACCCAAATCGAAAATGTATAAAACAGCCTCATGAACTTTCCATTGCCAGCATGTTTCCAAAGAAAATGAAATATACAAAGATACAATTTAACAAAATTTTTCATAAATTTGCCTAACCTATAAGAGAGTTTTTTTTTTTTTTTTTTTTTTTGCTATAGCACAATCTAAAAGCCTTTTATATACATACACTACAAATATGTTTATTTAATGTTACAAGCGTATATTTAACGAATCCAAATTAACTATAAAACTGCATAAATTTAGCGTCCGAAAGCGCTATGAGTAAAATCACGCATATAGAGAAATAGAAAAAAATCATGCTACGCCACATACTACAATGCATCATTTTTCTACCATTAGACTCATTCATGTTTTCATGTCATTTATGATTCATTATATATTTATAATCTAAATAAAGCGTTCAGCATAGAAATGCTCGTAACAACTAATAACAGACATTTAAAACAAAACCTTTCTCTGCATAAAGAACCTTTCTACTAGAATGTTTCCAGTAATACTACACGCCCTGATGAAGCAACTCAATGTATGACATAAGGAGGCGCTCCCCGGTCTGGAAACAAACGTTCCCTTTTTATAGCTTCCTGAAGGTCATTTGCATTGCTTCGAATTGACAACAGTTAAAAAGCAGCAAGCAAGGTGGGAGCTTTTTATAGAGATGCTAATGCAACTGAAGACAGAGATGAAGCTATGGCAGTTTATGTCAACAAGATGGATGTCAGATAAGAAATGAACCAGCCGCAATCGACATTATTTCAGATGGCTGTGGAACTAAATATCTCGCTTGAAAACAAAACACCTTTATTTGAAAATGTATAATTCAGTGTCGCAGCTAGAAATAATTTTTTGGACAAACATTCACTTCCTTACCCGGAGATTTAAAATTACTAATGTGATTGTGCACAATAAGGCATGTAATTTTGATGTATTTAACAAAATTCTGATAGCTTTACTGAAATTAATGTTATGCACAAGTTACCTCTTGTACAGTATTTCTTTAATTTATAAACACAGGGCTTATTAATACTTACATTGGCTTTATTATGTATTAGCAGTGATCGATAACTTATTTTTGACAAAATTTAACATTCATCATACTATAAGCTATGGTCTTAATTTCGAAGGAAATGCAAATATAAATAACCTGCATTACTGGTACAAAGAAAAGCCGATAGCTTACGTACACAATTATAAAGGCACATTTTTTATTACTTTTATTTTACGTGTCAGTCAAGTTCCCTTAACAAGTCCTCCTCGAAGTCCCTCTTTTTCCAGCAAGATAGCCCTCGCGAGACATAAAATAAGCCTAATTTTTCCGAGTTCTATTATCAGCGGTTCAATTGATTTCGTTTGGATTAGTTTAGCTGATTACGGTAAAGCATAATAGGGATATCTGCCTAAGAGGGGAATGCCTTCGTCGAGGACATTCTAAGGGAAATTGACTCGTATACCCGGTTAAACATGGAGAAAACCACGAAATCGCCCATGCAGCCAGCCCGTTCGCCTGTAATCGAACCCAGGTCCGGAACTACCAATGATATTATTGCTCAGATTTTATAGCCGCAGGTGGGCAGCGGTTCAATTGGATGGTTGAATTTGTTTCCCGTAGTTTTTCGTATCTGAAATGTAACAAGAACAAAGTTCCCTTAGAAAGTCTTCCCTGAATACTTCCCTTAGGGACTATAGCGAAGTGAATTTTCTTTACATGAATATTTTTATATCTCTAAATAGGTCTATTTTTTTCGCTCAGTATATAAAATACAGCTCAGGCGAAACTGAAGGAAAAGAAGAAAAGGAATTTAGAAGGAGACTTCTGGCAAGCCACAGCGTGAAATACAAGACCTTAAATTTATCTTTTCATGCACCCAGAGTGGTACCATTTGCCAAAGTAAAAGGTTTTAATTTTTTATTTTATTTGGCAAATTTAATCAGTCTGCTATTGACTAAATAAATGGGCGATTTAAAAGCAAAAAAATTAATAACTTAAGTTTTTCCTTTTTTAATTGGTGCGTCAAATAAATATAAATTAAATTTCATTTGTAATATCCGTTGAAAAATATCAGGAATAATTGCAGCTCTGTTGTAATTACTATTAGAAGGCACATCTAATGCCCTATGTTAAGTGACTGGTACAAAATCGTTTGCCATAAAATTTTTTTAAGTTTCATGTTCCTTTATAGTTTGAAATTTTTTATTGCTCTTCTTCAAATTTAAAATTTTGTTGCTCCTCTTCAGCCTGATGTTTTTAAGATCGCATATAGATTGATTATATGCCGAATGCTTACAATCATACGTCAACGCTTGCATTTTAATTATGTCCATAAGACTTAAATCATAACAAATGTTAAATATCATGTATTGGAAATTATTTACTCGATTTTTAAATTTTGAAACAGGTCAAACAAACCTCCTAATCACCACTAAAGTAAATGCTTCTTTCTTTCATTCCTAACAATTGACTGTTATTCAATAATTTTGTCATAATAACATCGTTGCTGGAAAATCATACTATCAGTTTACTAAATTCATTTTTTTTAACATTTGAACTTGATATTGCGGCCTAGTTTTCAAAGTGTAATATAAATTATTGTTGAAACAACCAATGCGTAATTTATTCAAAATGTAGATTTTCTGAATGTTGGTAAAAAAATTTGGAACATTAAGGTGCTGCAGAATAGTCTTTCGCGAATCGGCGATTCATTCTTCCTCATCAAATTACTTCCATATAAGACTACAGTTCAAATCGAAGCATCTTTCCAGTGCAGTCTGGGACACTGTTAACTCGAATATGTTTAATTTGGTTTTCTCTAATGTGTTTCACTGTTTTTCGATTTAACTACTTTAAGGTATTTAATTGAAAATCGAAACTTATATAAACGACACAAAATTTTTTGAAACAACGACGTAAGAAAATACAGGCGAAAAGAAAGGAAATAAATTATCTCCAAAATAAATTCCTAATGCAAAGATATTAGAGTAATCTTATTAGTTCGGTGGAAAAGGGACAAGCGGTATATGAAGTCTATTGAAATCAAATTATTTTCAGAACAATGACGAAACACACTGTATATATAATATTTCAAACGCTTAGGAAATATTCCCTTTATATTCCAGTTCACCAATGGTCGAATGGATAAAACCCTGAATAATGGTAGTTCGACCCCAATTCAAACCCCAGCCAAAGCACTAGTTGCATGAGTTGTTGTTCAGGATTCGCCCCCCCCCATTGTGCAACCCAAATGAGATATAATTTTCTTTACAAAGTTCCATAGGAAGCATACCTTTTCTTTAGTCAGATATCCCTTTCTGCTATATCTTCAAGAATTTCGGTCAATTAATCTTTAGTTTCAGTTAATTACAGAAGAACTGAAATATCAGTCTGAGAGATTGACTATATGAAGAGCATAATGTTAACTTCTTGACTATAGTTGCTACCATGACTTCATACGATAGTCCTCTCTGCTATGCCTTCAACAATTCCAACCAATTAATCTTTAGTTTCAGTTAATTACAGAAAAACTGAAACATCAGTCTGAGAGTGTGAATGCATGAAAAGCATAATGTTAACTGCTTAACTATAGTTGCTACAATGACTTCATACGAATTGGAATATAGTTTAGAGTAGATAAAATTAGTTGTTAGAATTAATCACCAATGAAAGTTTGGAAACTGGATACACATAATAAACAAGAGTCCTAGACACAAAGAATATAATTACTTTAAAGAATATGTAATTTGTTAGAAAATTAATCTTTAACGGTTCTTACTACTAAAATTAAGAGTCTATTAATTAACATGCTAAGTTTTACTCACCCGGTGATTAAGTTACTCACCATTTCCTTGTGCTTCGCAGTGATTAGACAGTTGTGCACTTGATTGCCTTATTGCAGAAGTGTCATCATCATCAGACAAGTCCGAAGAATCTTCAGAGGATGAGGAACTTTCTGGTATTGGTTCTGGATCCGATTTTATAAATAATCCAATTCGAACTGGTGGAGGACTACGAGGGAGCAGCTTCACTTCTTTTGCCTTGTTTGTTAGACTTGGATAATTTTCATTTATGAGTTCAGTTTCATTGCCATTTGCATCAGTCTTTTTTACACTTTCTGTCTCTGTTTTTTCTAGGAACTTCTTATTACTAACTGAAGTGGTAGAGTTGACTAAATCTGAAGCTTCCAGCTCACCCTTTTGAGATAAAGTTTTCTTTATTTTCATATAGTTATCTGAAGTGCAAATTATAGAGTCTTTTGAAATGCCATTAGAGATATTTCCTTCAGTTTCTGATGTTGCATCTGACATTACTTTATTTTCTCTGTCAGTTAAATTTCCACAATTGGAATCTGGTGGACATTTGACTGCTTTTTTACCAAAGTTCATTGAATCGTTCACTGCCTCAACTGAAGAGTTTGTATTTACTGAGTACTTTGCTCCCTTAATACTGGGTTCTGGGACATGAAAGAATGATTTACTGTCACTCAAATTATTCTGGCTTTCAGCAAAACTTTGGTGTATGATGTTTGCAGATCCGAGCTTTTTCTTTTCAAGATCAACCTCCGATTTGAAATCAGTGTCATCAGCACTGCGCGCTTTATTTATTTTGCTATAGTTCAATATATCTCCCTTTTTCTCTCTTGTGTCTGTCTGCTTGCTTATAGAGTTAGGTAAATTCTCTTGATCAGAAAGTTTATTTGTAAGCGATGATTCAAAAGAAGAGCTTAATTTAGGAAAAACAATATTATTTGCTTCGAAATCATTTAAATGTGAAGAATGTAATTTAGAACCAGCAGTGCAGATATTCTCTTTGGATGTCAATTCCGTAGAAAGTTCTTTGTTACGAATGGCGTCATCTTTCAGTTCTTTATGACTACCTATAACGTCAGGCTTTGATATTTCTTGAAGAATACCCCCTTCTAGAGTTTTGCTTATGAGAAGATTCGAATTTTCATCTTTTAATAAATGACTGCTTATTTTATTGCCGACTTGCATAATATCAGTATTCGAACTTTCTGGCAGCTTACGTGCTTCTGACTTTGTATCCACATCCAGTGTCCTTGCAACATTGCTTTCATTAAATGCTAATTGCAGTGTAAACGAGGTTTTCAGATTTTCCAAAGAATTAGTTTCAGGCACTTTTTTGATCATATCTTCATCTCTTACATTTTCAGGCTTTAAAGCACTGTGCAGTTTTTCTGATACCGGTGGTATAACAGCAGACACATCTTTCTCAACAGATTTATTATCCGAAACTAACTGTATATTAGAAGTGGGTGCTGAATTTTTACTTAACTTAATTTTGTCGAAATTTACATCTTGACATATACTTTGCATTTCACAAGTAGGTAAGTTCACTAAAGAAAAGACATTCTCCTTAGTTGTGGCTGAAACAGTTTTGATTCTGACGGCAGAAGAATCATCGATTCTTTGTGCTATATTCCTAATCTCACTCTCGGCATTTTCTGAAACTTTCCCTTCTTTAGCATCTACTTTTGCGGACTTCACCGAATCAGCGTCCTTCGAAATTTCTTCGTATTTCGAGGCAGGCGATAATTTATTTAAGGAATTTTCCACGACATGATTTTTAAGGATCTGTTCTTGTTTCACAAGGGGCTCATTTTCAGTCAGAGTTTTAGATTCCACAGCAAGTGAGGGCTTAAGCAAATTCTGAGTTCTCCGAGATTCTTCCAAAGCTGAATTTCTCTCCATATGCTTATCATCTGGCCTAGAGATTGGAATTTTGCCATTTTTATCGAATTTTATGTCAGTAGGGGAAATTAAGTTATCTTTTCCTTTACTTTCAGTACAAGAAACTTCTTTACTCAATAACGCAGTCGGTGCATCATTAGAATTCGGCATCACATGATCAAATTTCTTGCAAGACTTCTCATCATGTGTATTCCCAGACAATAATGAATCGCTTTTTGAATAGCTAGGACGACGTTCTTCCAGGACTGCATTAACATCAGGCGTAGTAGCAGATCTTTTATAGCAAGTTTTCGAATTTTCAGCATTTTTACGAGCCAGGTTTGGAGTTAGCTTCAAATGAGTTTCTTCCCTCGCTTTATTGTAAGACTTCGAAATGTTTTTGTCGGACTTGGGACATTCTGTTTTATTTTGTTCTAGTAGTTCCTCCTTTTCTTTATTAGGTACTGCAGCGTTGCTTCCTATAGCATGATCTTTCTGTGAAGCTTTGCTTTCATTCGTACATGTCAAGATATCTGGTTTTGTAAGAATTGTGTTTTGCATTTTGACCAAATCTTTGTCCGTATGAGTTTTGCAAACAGAGGGCTGAAGAATAGTCTTAGTAGTAACGCTTTCAGCGTCTGCCACTGCCACATCTTGTGACAGAATAGACGCACCAGCAGCTTTATGGTTCCTTTCCTTACTAAGTGAAATGTCACTTTTCGTGATATTCGGCAAACCTTTAAAACATTTTCGATCATTAGGTTCATTAGAAATATCTTTAGGCGCAGCAGTTGAAACAACTTCATTATTAACAATGTTCTCCTTAATGTTTGGTAATACAAAAGATTTATCAGGTTTTAACTGATCTTCAGGAATATTAGAATGCACTGTCGTTTGCTTCGCCTGACTAGCAATATCTGGCTTCACATCAGATCTCATATTTACATTAATGGTAGTTTGAATGACATCAGGAATGGAATTTAATCGAACAGCACTAATATTTTTTTGTGGTTCGAATTTTACCTGTTTCGACAAATCTTTCTTTTGAATTTTGGGTTTTAAAACAACGGTATGAGTTACATGAAGTTCATTATTTTCATTGTCTCTCCTCCCAGCAGTAGAAGAGGAATTTTTAGCTTTTGGTTGAATATCACAAATTTCTGAGGAACCTGACTGGGATTCACGTATAGGTTCCGAAAACGGAAATGCTTGCTTTACTGGAATGATTGGTAATACCGCAGATGAATTTTCATGCCGCGATTTATTTTTCTCGCAAATATGCACACTTCCTACAACATCGTCTTTTTTCACAATAGAAACAACGATGTCTTGGTCAACAGGAATGTTTTTGTAAAAATTGGAGGCATTATGACCCGGAAATTTTGCTTTTTCGACTTTTCCTTTCGGCTGTGGCAGTTTACATACTACGATTACTTCTTCAGATTCTTTACTCTGACTATCTAAAGGCGTAGCAATTTTATTAGTGTTCGTTTTACTACTTTTTATAATACCTTCAGTTTCTTTAGAAGCACTTTTTTCAGAAATAGAAGCATGAGGAATTTTCTTTTCCTTAATTTTGGTTAATTTGGGTTCAATATTGGTTTGCAAAAGTTGCTTATGACTCGTTTGTCCCTTTCTTTTAGCTTCATGAGAAATTTTTTCTTCAATAAAAGAAGCGTTAACTACTTTTTTGTTATTTACTTTGTCCAAATTAGATTCAGCTTTCGACAGGAATTTAGTTCTTTCCGACATATCACTTTTCTCTTCACATTTCCCTATAATATTTTTATCCGCTATTTCATCGGCATAACTACTGCCAGTGGTTATCTTTTTATTTTTTATTTTGTGTAAGTTAGAAGTGCTATTCAACGGTGAATCATATTTATTAATTACCTTTTGATTCTTATCTACAGTTGACTTTACATCTAAAATTTTATCATTCGATTTATGTTCCTTACCAGCGTTCATTTTGTTATTTAAAGGAGATACAGGGCTTTTTAAATTTGTATCCATCTTATTTGAGATAGTAATTATATTAGTTTTAAGTTTAAGATCCTCTAACCCTGGATGACGACTGTTGTCTTTTTTATTAGTTATAGATGATTTTATATCTTTTATCACAGGAGAAACTTCACAATTCTGAATGGAGGGGGTCACGGATTCATTGGATATAGGAACAGGTGTTAAATTATCTGCTTTATATTTCACAGATTTCCTGTGCATTCTATTTATGGGGTAAGAAACATCATTCACAGTCACTTCTGCTGATACAGTTTGTGGTAAAGAGTCATCTCTAACTCTACTGCGAGCACGACTTCGACAACGAGATCTGCTTTCTTCAACGTTCTGATCGGAACTATCATTGGAAATGCAGTGAAGACGACGACGTCTACGAGGATGAGTTAGAATATTATCGACGGTGCTATCAGCAGAAACTAAATTGGAATTAACACTGGGAGAAACTTCATTGCTTTTTTGATCTTCACTGCTCCGCCTATGCTCTAAACATGTTACTTCGTTTTGTGTTATCGATTCAGGACGTTCTAAGGCCTTCGATGAATCTGCCAAACTAAGAAGCCTTTGGAGGTTCGAAGCACCCTGTTGCCTTTTAATTTCATCTGCAATTATGCTATGATTCAAACTCTTTTCATCCAGATCATCAAGAGATGATTTTCGAGACTTCTTAACTTTATGAGCTGAGCTAAAGGATTTTTTTCTTGGGGGAGGTATGGGAGGATCTCTAAATTCCGGAGCTGTTTTAGCAGAATCTAAAGCATCAAAACTGTTTTCCCTTGATGCTCTTCTTGCTATAGTAGTCTTCGGCGAAGAAAAGCGTCTTGAACAACTAGGAGACCTAGGCTCTAAAGTATGATCATCAGATAAACGTCGAGAAGCTGATGCTCTAGGAGATCCAGCTGCAGGAGATGAACCACGAGTGTTCGATAAATAGTCTCGGGAACCAAATCTGGTTAAACTGCTTTCCCGACTTCTAGTTTTCTCATTTACTATTTTGTCATCAGATAGTTCAGGATTTAATTTCCTCATTTCATTAATTAAAGGCGAGTCAATTTCCTCATCTAAGTCCCACGATATTTTTCGCCGAACTTTATTCAAAATATCGTTGGTAATTTCACGAAATTTTATTAGCTTTCTTTCACGTACAATTGGCATACCTGCATTTTCTCGCTCAGCACGGGATCTAGGAACAAAATTGCTCTTTAACATGGGTCTGGCCTGTAAAACAGGTCGCAAGTAATCCGAATAATCAGTCCTCTGTGGCCTTCTAATTGGGGAAGTGTATGAACTATATCGAGAATTGCTACTTGGGAAATCATAATAACTTCTTGGTTTCGAATTATTATAACTGTAATCATCAGAATTTAGCCAATTTATGGGCGAAGAACGAGATTCGCTTAACGCCTGCGAAGAGACGGTTGAAAAATCTCTACGCCGAAGAACCGGCGAAGTGTCACCAGATAGTGCTGCTGATATCGGCCTAAAATTTGACAATCTTGTTCCTGTGTAATCCCTTACTGGGCTTCTGGAACGTTCCTGTCTCCCGAAATCAGAATTTATAACTCTCTGAAATGTTGGATTTCTAGGTGGCAAAGAACTTATTATATCGCTTATGTAATTGTTATAGGAATGCCCTCTTCCGGAACTACATCTTCCCTCAAAGAAGGGGCCAGGTGAATGACTTCTGTTATAATACATTTTGAAGAATATAAAACTTTCAAAAAACCAACATTTAGTGCACTTCGATCAAAATAGAAATTTTAATTAATTACGAGAGTCTCATGCATTAATTTATACTAATCGAAATAACTTATATTAAGTATATAAAGAAATAAAAATGTACCTCTGACTTAGGGTCCGTTGTCCAAAACTAGATGTGTGCCAAAGGAGTTGAAATCCTCCTGCATGAAGCACGTGTGACATTTAAAATTGGAAATGAAAATTTCTCACAAGCAGTGCACAAGAATAGGAATAAAGTAACGCAAAATAAAAACAGTTCTTCTCGAATTATTATTCAAGTGAATAAATTACTCTGCGATCTGCTTTTATGAAATATAAAACACCCACTTCAGTAGGCAGGTGGGAAATTCCTTTTGCACGTGCAAAAATAAACACCGAGTCACATCATGTGCAAAGAAACACGCAAGCCAAGAAGATGCCAATTCTCTAACAGTGACAACAGAGGAAGCAGACTATCTCCCGGAGACAAGAGAGTCTACTGAATAAAAGAGGTCGCTTTTTAAACCAAAGCGTCACTGGGAAAATGTTGCCAGGAATAAATTTTGAGAGGGGGATTTCTTTTTGTTTTTATTTTTTCGCGTTACCTCTCATCCCTCCCTTACTCTGGTTTTCCATTCATTCCAGAAATATCCGACAGAAAAATCAACAACCGCTCCCCCTTCCTATATGAAAAACTGCATTTTAAAAGTAAACGTAAACACTGAAGTATACATGCAGAAAATATTAATGCCATAAATGTAGGTAAATATAAAATAAGCAAACGCCATAAAAATAAGCATTTCCATAGGCATAAATTTCTTCAATTTAAAATGTTTTTCAAAGTCATCAAATGTTTTGTAATGAAAATACAGTATAATCAGCAATAACAATAAATACGACGCTAAAAATGTGGATACCATTAAAATTAAAATTATTTTATGAAGCCCAATGTTGTTAGTTTAGATCTGCCTAAAGAAAGGGATAATCTCTTGGGGATCTTTCTAAGGGACACTGGCTTGCATTCACATGAAACTGTAACATTACAGCTTTAAAACTGCATTGCATGAAAGGTAACTAATAGAATATTTACGATTTATACAGTTATTTACAGGCAACAGCATGATGATTTTACGCAAATATTAAAATTACTTAGGCTAACAATATCACAATTCTTCATTCATTTACTTCCCCCCTTTTTTTTTCATTTTCATTCTAATTTTTAAGAGCATTTGTATATTATACAAAGTAAAATAGATGTCACACAGAAATTTACATATTTGGCTGGTGTTTAAACCTTTTGGCCCCACTGGGATATTTATGTCGACTAAATATTTTAAAATCACCCACTGTTTTGCAATAGACCATACATACATATGTCATGAATAATGTTGTATAAGCGTCTTGCACTAAAATTGTTTCAAAACTATAGTAAAATTAATTTAGAACTAGGAAAGTGAACTTTTCACTGTATTCCATATCATCATCTTAACATCAATGGGATATACTCGTATGTGTGCTATCTAAAAAGGTGTTGGTGTATTGAGAATACGGCAAAGCACACTAGGGCTATCTGCCTAAGGGGAGGGATGTCTTCGTGGAGGACTTTCTAAGGGAAACTGGCTCGTATACACGTTACACATGGGGAAAACAACGAAAACGCCCATGCAGCCAGCCCGTTCGCGGGATTCGAACCTCGAACCGAACTACCAGTGTTCAGCGATTTTACCGCTCGGCCGCTGGTGGACCCCTATCTAAAACGGACGGACATGTATGTCCCACCTCCACAATTCCTCTATAGTTAGTATTTGTTTTTATTTCGACATAATCTTGGTATTTTTACTTTGACTTACTAAAACCCTAATTTACCTTATTTTTGGAAAAGAAAAAACTGGGAACGAAAGGGTTAACTCGGGGAGGGGGATCTTTGTCTAGTAAGGAAATCTTTATGAAGTGAAAAAAATGTCTAAAGTAAGGGGCTTGAATTTACGTTTCATTCGAGTAATTAGTTCATTCATTACAGAGAAGCACATGAGAGTTATCTACTTTAGACGGATGCCTTCATGGAGGATTTTCTAAGAGAAACTGTTTTGTATTAATGTTACGCATAGGAACATCAAGTAAGAACATATTAAAGCCAGCTTGTTCCGGCAGTGCGAGCATATTTGCAGATAGTCAGTTTTAAATGCATAGCACAGTAAATTTTGGCAACGAAAAAGCGAGGCAGATAAATATTGCATGCTTAAATCAGTTACTTACTTGCTAGTATATCTAGAACTTTGTGAATAAATATGCTACATTACTTTTAGGATTGAAATGTAGTTTTGCAGCTGTATATGTATAGTACTTAGTAATTTAAAGTTCCTAGGGATATTTTGAACCTCTGTAATTACAAATAAAAAAAGAATAATGTCAAAATTATCATCTACTTTATTTCCTTCACAGATTAAGTGTCAGATTAACGGGCAGAAAATATGAGCCTAAAGGAAAATGCGCATGTTATTGAAAAACCTATCAGTTTATGAAACGAGGATTCGAATTTTGGATCTTCCAATATTATCCGGATGTGCTAAGACTTACTACTAATTTACTTTAAGTAGAACTTTAATTTAATCATCAACAGTCTATCTTATATACAAGTGCTTCTCAAGGTTAACTTTTGAACTTTCAAGAATTCCTGATTCTTAAATATCTATTTTAAATAAAATGCAGATTTTGACGGTGGTCTCAGAAAATATTCTACTCTTAACCGTGCACTTGTGAAATCATACATTTGCTAGTAATGCTGAAATTAAAGCATCCAAATTAATTTTAAAAAGTTCTAGAGATAAACTACAAGCGTTTGCGAATTTTCTTATAGAATATGTGGCTGAAAATACCTTGTAAAATGCAATAATATGTTAAAGATTTAGTCAAGATTTAAAGAAAATATTAAAATATATTTTTTAATATTTAAAATAGCAAAGCGATGAAAAACAGAATATTTAATTTTATTTATTACACTTCATAAACCCTCACCTCTATGTAAACAATAAAAAAACTTAATTACTGATCTCAATGTTTAAGCTTCACGCCCTAGAACTGCAAAGAATTAAGTACGAGATACATATAACGTCGAGCACTAATCTTTCAAATAGGTACAAAGTATATCACAACATTGTCAGGATTAAGGGGAAAATGAAAAACAACGAAGCAACAAAAGAATGCCAAGAGAACCTTAAAAGTAGGTTCCGAGACAACAGATCAGAAGACAAACGTCCAAACAGGCGCCAAGTAAGAAATATGCATTCAGAAGATAGGGCATATGAAAACTCCTAACTGTGAAGGAAGCCGTGTATTGTCTGTGCACGCATATTACGGCAACGAGCTTATGAGGCTCTGTAACACATTTGTTACACTAATATTCCACTAAAAGAGCTTAAACAAGTGTCTAGCCGTAAAAGCCCTGGCAGTGATATCACAACGAGATGTGAACTCTGCGCTAGAGTAGCTGGTAAAAGAGCAAAAACTCATCCAGACTGTCCACGATTAATCAGACGCTTAGAAGATCTGAGAGGAAGTGCATAGAAACTGATGGAGATCACACTACTATGGGACATTTGAGCGGGTGTATTGCATATGATCTTAAATGAAAATATTGAAGAATTACTTCCTGATACTGAATTTATCTCTAATTTAGTGTACCGCTATTTCTTGCCTCATGAAAAATTTTTATTGATTCCCTAAAAATGATTTATAAGATATTCCACTTCCACGTCTCTGGGACTGCAAAGTTCCTTACTGGGCGAATCCACATCTATAATTCGCCAAATCATCTACAACCAGTGTTAGCCGCTAGAAATTCGCATCAACCAGTGATTAATGCTTGGCAATTTTTCCATAAGCCTTGCCTTTCACATTGATGATGTGATATTTCCACGAGTATACTTATTGATGGTCACCTCTAACCTTGTTTATGAGTGGCACAGGTTCCCCAAAAAAGGTTTAGTTTGGTTTAGTTTATAATGGCGAAGCACACTAGGACTACCTGCCTAAGGGAAGGGTTGCCTTCGTGGAGGACTTTCTAACGGAATCTGGGTCGTATACACGTCCCAAGTAGCACATGACGTAGCAAAGACGTTACTACGACCATTTTACAACCTCCCGGACCAGTTTGCAACGTCTTTGCTACGTCATGTGCTACTTGGGTTTACACATGCAGCCAGTCCGTTCGCTTGGATTAGAACCCAGGTTGCAACTATAGCGTTCAGCGATTTTACCGCTCACCCGCTAGTGGTCCCGGTTCCCCAAAATAGGGTAACTTCATTAGTAATCGTGATTTTCTGTTTGTGCTTGCGAATAATAATAAGTTTTAATTAATCGATTAGATATTTTCCGACGTCTGCATCCACTTACTATGACAGAAATTGTCTCCTTGAACATTTCTATTGCATAGTTATCCCTTCTTGCTTTTTTGTAGCGTTAATCACAGCTGCGCATTCGTTGCTGTTGGCTGGCGAGCTGTTGACAGACATCTTTCGAGAACATCCTACAGATGGTCAAATGGATTTACAGATGTGGATAAATTATTAGTGTTAAAATAAAAATTGAAAAGTTTTTACAATAATTAGTTTATGTATAAAATTATTATAATTAAATAAAAGTTATTTTAAAGCATGCTTTTTCCTTATAACATTTCTTAAAGTAAATAAAAATGTTTAATAACTATATTTTAATAATATTTGAAAAATACCTCTAGTATTATTTAATATAACAATTTACCTACCACTATATTTAATTATATTTTTCTTACATTTTGATATTTTTAATGCAAGGTAATTGTACTAGGAACCGCGATAGAGCCATTTCATACATTTCTCTTCTTTTAAATCGCCATTATTACAAATTTTTAATTTCATTTTGTCTATGAATTTTACTCATTTACGTTTAATTTTTATCACCAGTTTTTTAATGGGTAGGAGGAAAAATCTTTAACTTCAAAACTGCAGGTTTTAAAACTCTAAAATGAAAATAAGTATTACCAGAGGGAAGTTGCTAAAAAATGTAAATATTAGTCAAAAATTTGAGTATTTTTTTATAAAGATGTTTTCAAGAGCGTGAATTA